GAATAATAGCATTTGGTATAGACACTTTGTGTTATCTTTTGAATTTTCAATTTTAACATTATAAAAATTAATTTTTACTCTAATCACCTAATCACATTTTACCAATTTAACCACCCTAAGTATATTGTATCTACCAAATTACTATAATCATTTAAACCAATGTTCTTTCTTGAAAACTTTATATAATTTTTTTATATGTAAAAAATAAAATTTATACAAAATTGATTCATTTTAATTATTTCCTAATTGCACACACATTGAATGGGCACTTAACACTAGTGAAAATAATGCCAAATGGAAGTAACGCATCAAGGGCATGTTCCCAAATCCCAAACAAGTTCTTTCTTCCGGATAGGATGGTTAGTTGGGCTAGAAAGCTCAAGTGAAATGTTACATTTACTTTAGTTTAACCTGGGATGAGGGTAAAGGCCCGATACAAAGTTCAAAACTTTGGGCTTGGCCCAAAAGATAGAGAGAACTGGAATCTATTTTATTTATGTGTTTTGTAATTTCTCTTTTTTTATTTTTAAATATATACAATTTTTTATGTGAGAAAGCATTTAAGGACTTGAATTCTTTGAGCCCCAAAAGATATAAAAGTTTCAAGTCCCTTTAAATAATTTCACCAACCTTTTTTTTTTCAATTCACTAACACTATGGGATGGAAATTTTCAACTTATATGACTTTATTACAATATATTCGTGAATGAGAATCATTATGTTAATGATATGTATGTCCAAATATCTTATCTTTACATTATTTGAGGGCTTTTTCTAATACATTATTTTTTATAGTGTAAGTGGGAGAGTTCGATTTCAGAACCTATCACTTAAACTCGCTCTCCCAAACCATCCAACCAATCCCGCCCCCATCCAAGGGCTTTTGTGAACTCATGTGAGGACGCCTTTTCTTTTTATTATTATTTTTGCAATGTGAGTAAACTTATTAGTTACTAGATATAAAATAGTAAACAAAATTTGGACAAAAGGTCAAAGTGGAAGATGATTTCTTGTGTGCATGACAATTTTGAAAGTTCATCACTTTTGGGGGCAAGATTGAACTTGTAAGTTTGCTTCAAAGGCTAAAATGAAATCAATTCTATAAATGAGGCAAAGGAAATGTTATATACCCTTAAGATTTTACTTTATTGTTATTTCAATCGACCCAAAACAAAAAGCATCCTCATAATTTTTGCACTTGACTAGCTTCTCCAAGCCAACCATCTTGTAACATGTCGCTTTGTAACTTAAAATGCCCCATACGACAATCAAATTGCTCAAAATGAAATAATAATCAAAGAAAGGACAACTAGTGTACCATGATCTGATAGCCTTCAAGTATTTTAAAATGTAAACTTGACTTCATTTATTATTCATCTAGATGGAAGGTTAGGATCTACAATCCAAAAAGTAATAGTAATAGTTTTACATGAAGAATACATGCAAATTCTATGTGTGTTGTCTCCTTGGCACGGACAACTTGAAAAGAACCTCAAGGGATAATTAAATTTGTGGTGATTGATCAAAATCTCATTAAGGCAACAACTAAATGAGTAAACCAAAATAACCAGCGTTACTCCTTATGTAGGTAGCATCATCTGAATACTAATCCAATAACTTGAAAAAACTTGAATAATCTTGTCCTCAAATATAGGCAAAATAAAGTAATTATTACTTTATCAAGATTACAAATTCCGCATTTCTTTCATCTGGTTAATCCATTGCATGCATAGTCATTGTGTTTTTTTAATCTTTTAAGGTTCTTGAAGTCAAGAAGGTTCACTTAGGCTAAAGACTGTGTTGGATTTGAACTACAAATGCAAGGCAAAAGAAAGACAATTGATGATACCGGCGGTGATAATGGTGATGGAGGAGGAGCTGGTGGCTATGGTGGTAACACTAGGGGTATCGGTCCATTACCGAGGAGACGAAGAGTAAGGTCATTTCCACCTCCTTTTCTGATGAAGACATTCGACATGGTTGAAGATCCAGAAACCAACTCCATCATATCTTGGAGTTCAAACAGTACAAGTTTCACAATTTGGGACCAAATCAAGTTCACTGCAGAGCTCCTTCCCAAGAACTTTAGGCATGGCAATTTCTCAAGCTTTGTTTATCAGCTCAACAACTACGTGAGTACTTTCCCTCATTTGATCAGTTGTAAGTAGTAAAGGCTACTCAAAACTGATGATCAACTGCGATTGGCATACATCATGTTAATTCATCTTTATGTTGCTTAAACACTTCACCATTAATTGGACAAGTAACATAAATTTAATCTCTTTACGAAGTTTAGTGCTCAATGTGGTAGTCTTGATATGTCAAAGTACAGCATTGTTTTGCTTATTGCCTAACGGCAATTTTGACAGTGAAACTCTCTTTGGGATTCATAATATAATTGATTTAACGCTTTTACATTTGTTTATTTGAAAAGTTGATCATTTTCTTTTTAAAATATTATAGGGGTTCAAAAAGATCAGTTGGGAGAAATTTGAATATGAAAACCCATGGTTTCAAGCAGGAAAGAGGCATTTGCTCAAGCATATAAAGCGAAGGAACCAACAGTGTGAATATGATTCCATGATCCAGCCTTCATGTGGATCTACAGATAATTTGTTGAAGGATAGAATGGAGGACCAGCTAGAAACTCTAATGATTGAGCAGCATGGTTTGAAAGTTGAACTTGAGAAACTTAATGAAAAACAAAAGCAAATGGTGAATCACTTCAACAAAATAGAAGAGAGCATAAAAGTTTCTGAGAGAGAAAAAGAAGAAATGGTCAGCCAACTACTTGTTCAGGTTTTCATCCAGAAGCTAAGAGAGAAAAGAGAAATGAGTAAATATGAAGCCACAAAGAATCAAGGGTTGGACAACTCTATGAGCAAGGAAATCTTGGCGCTTGTCGCTGAGGGGAATTGTTCTAGACATATTGACAAGAACGAACAAGTGCAAGAAGAAGTGATGGTAATCCAAACAGAAGGTCAAACTTTCTGCTCCCCTGATAACTCAGGAGGTTCAAACGAAGAAAAGAAAGCTACTGTAACTTCAGAAACTTATCAAAATCGTGACTTCTGGAAGAAAATGATAGAGGATGATTCAGAGCATGAAAATGGAGGACATGAAGAGCTAGAAGAGTATCATCCAAAAGCCATTCTGAAGCTGCAGGATCTTATCGCCTCCAATACTCTTGTTCAAGGGGAAAATCAAGAGGAAAAACCTGTTTCTATCATGGAAGATCAGGATGGAGTATCTGAAAATATGCACCTAGAATAAATGGTGTTATCTTTTTTCTAAAGATGTCCATTATTATAAAATCATGAGCTCTGACCTTGTCTTATTACAACGTAATCTACATCTTACAAAAATTGAATTTTTCTGACAGGTAATAAGAAAGCGATCAGGATTCATATGGATGCATAGAAGAAACGTCTCCCCAAAACTGGTTTGGCAAGACAATCACAAGGATCATTTAAATCTTTACATCTTATTTAAGACTGCCTATTCTGTTTGCTCCTTGCTCTTCTTCTTCATCTCATTTATATTGTGGTAATGTCATGATTAGCTACAAGAACTCTAATTATCTCACCCTGGAGTGGGGATGCATGTTTTTCTTACTATTTACTTCAACAATCTACATGCATATGACATTTGTTTCACGTTCAATTTTACTGTTGGCATCTGAATTTCTATCTGTGGTTCTTATTGTAAAGAATTTGTGATAATGTTTCTGATGAATTTGATATCAGACAATTAACTTAGTCTCAGAAAGGATATACATCACCATAAATAATAAGTTGCATCTTGTTTCTTCTAATCTATAGTTCCTATTCTTGTTTCTGTATCATGTTCAGTCATTAATTGCATGGAATACTTCTTTCTGAAGGTCATTTACCCCTTTTTGAAATTCCGGCAGTGCTAATTACCTCCTCCACTTCCCCTCCCCCCCCCCCCCCCCCCGGTCCGCCGGCAGAAATAAAATAAAATAAAAAGATCCTTTTCCTTCATGATTTCAGAGAATCCTTGGTGAGCAAACAAAACTTTTGATACTTCAGGAAGATGGTGCTATTATTCTTTCTTGTATAAACATCAGTTCGATAATTTCTACCTAGAGCTGTATTCATGAAAAGTTTTCAGTTGCAAGAAATTCTCACTGATAAACCTATCAGTGAAATTGAGACAGAGTATAATAAGACTGCCTAAGGTACTTGCAAGCTTGTTTTCTGCACAATCTGATAGGACCAACAATAAACGAATGAAACTCAAAAAAAGTTTGCTAATGTTGGACATTTGGTTTGGGGTTACTTAAATCGAAGACGCTTTTGGTTGGACCATGAGAAAGCTGAATCGAAAATCTTTTAAAAATCTGAAAAACACTATTTGAAGTCTTTCTGCTGTGTTCCTGGTTTCGAAACTTTTGAATGGAACATAGCCATTCAATGAAATTTTTGCAAGTGGTATTTGTAGGAGCGAAAAGAAATTATCTATGTAATTGTAGTTCATCGTTCAGAATCTATTTATAAGAAAAAGGAACATTAATGAAACAAAACCCTACAGATAGAGAGAAAGACTATTAGCAGGAGATTGATGATCTGAAAATACAGGAAGACTCGCTAGTCACCACCTCTTCAAAAGAGGAAGGCCTAGAAAGTTGGCCAGAATTCTTCCGGTGAGATTGTTTTGTGACAGATTATTGCAGATTTCGAGTATAAATTAGTTTCTGAAGTCAACTATCATTACTATGAAGAAGGACTGGGGTTTTCAGATTTTACTTTCTGATAGCAAAATCTGACTGCTTAAACAGGAGTTCTATACTCACCTTATCTAATGATATGAAGGAGCTAATACAAAAAAATAATGTATTCTTATTATAGAATCCCCTAATGCACGTAACTGGTCACAAGATGTGGAAAAACCTACTAATAACTACATATTATTAATGGGGTCATGTTGAAAGCAAATGACAATTCTAAAAGAAATATGAGAACGCACGGACAGAATGAATACTGGCAAGAATTTTGATTAAGCATGAGAAAATGGAAACAATATAGGTACATGTGGTGTCATTAGGTAGTCATTTATTAATGCTAACAAATGGAAACCTTTGTAGGTGGTAAGCATAATACAGAATGTTACAAAACTGTACATACTTTACATTACTCTGACAAGTTGTACTTTACCTCAATTAACATAATATAAACCATCAATGACATGGTAAGGAGAACAAAGAAATAGACGTTTACGAACTAACATGAAAAGAAAGGCCAAGTAAAGCAACAGATGAAGCAACATTTTTTGTTCACCTTGGTCCTGATAGTACTGATGGTGGAACTGATACTGTTGTTTCAAATTCAGATTTTCTTCTGATGGCTGCAAGTGGATTAAAGTCCAAGGTTTGATGTTCCAAGTTAATTTCGGGGTCCAGTGTACCCTCCATGACCTTAACTGCAGCAGACATAGATGGCCTCTGGGTAAAATCACTTCGTAAACACCATAGTGCAAGCTTCATTGTTCTAATCATGTCTGAAATATTTAGTCGAGTATCTTCATCGTTACTTTCAATTATATCAATCAGCCTATCTTCCTCGTCCTTTCTCCTAAACAGATCAAGCAAATGTACACGATCCTCAGATTCTGACATATCAAAATTCTTCCTTAAACATATGATCTCCATTACAACAACTCCAAAACTATAGACATCTGCCTTTTCTGTGATAAATGAGCTTAACCATTCTGGTGCCAGATAACCAGGAGTTCCCCTCAATGTAGTCACAATTTGATTCTGATCCTTATCAATGGACTTGGACAAGCCAAAATCAGAAACCTTTGCACATAAATTTTCATCTAACAGGATGTTCTGAGGTTTGATATCTAGATGGACTATTTTTTGTCTGCATTCTTCATGAAGGTAAGCCAGACCTTTTGCTATATCATGGATGATATTCCTTCTTATCAGCCAGTCAAGAGTAGGTTGAACAGAATCCTTGCTAAAAATCCATTTGTCAAGTGATCCATTGTTCATAAATTCATAGACTAAAAGTCTATGATGGTTTTCAACGCAAAATCCAATCAGTCTCACAAGATTGATATGATGAATGCTTCCAATTGTCTGGACCTCAGCCAGGAACTCCTTCTTCCCTTGCCCTAAACTGTTGGGTTGCTTCACGGCAATTTTCTCTTCATTTTTCAGAACTCCTTCAAAAACTGAGCCGAATCCTCCTTCTCCCAGCAATTTTGAGAAATTTCCAGTTGCATCCTGTAGCTCCTGAAAAGAAAATCTCACGGGCATTCCAGATAGCTGTTCCCAGTAAGTCTCAACGTCTTCCTCAGTACTTTGCTTCTTCCTACGCACAATGCAGATGCCAAGGATTACTACTGACAAACAGAAAATTCCTGCAGTCAATCCAGCTATAATTCCTTTTCGTTTGGACGATGCAGAAGATCCCGATGTATTTGACATGTCATTGGAAATTTTGATGAATGCTGATGATTCAAAATCATTTCTTTGCTTTCCATCACTTATTAGTGAAAGAACAGGGGAGGGTAAGAAGCAGTTTCCCCTTGAAAAGTTACTGAAAAAATGCTGAAAGAGAACTGCTTTGCATGAGCAGTTTCTCAAGCATAACCACCTGCAGCTCTCAATATCTGTCGCTTTCAAGACTGCAGCATCAGAATCAACATAATTGAAGTAATATACATCTGTAAGATGTAGTAGTCCATGAGAACGGGGACCATCACATTTTGTGGGATTTATCTCCACACAGCCACTGTTGTTTTGGTTGTCACTTCTTTCAAAGCCTGACGGACAAGAGCACTGCCCCCCCGAGCATAGAGCCAAACTGCCACAAACGGTTGGATAATCACATTCGCTCAGAAAATCTGCCAAGAGATCAACAGGTCTATTTTCCTCATTATAAACTCTGAAATGGCCATCATAATCATATCTGATATATTTCATGCTGGATGGCTTTGAAAACACTGCATCTGGTTCATTTGGCTCAGCTGAAGATATGTATAGAGCAAGCGTACCATTTACTGCTTTAACATAGCTTGTTTCAATGCTTTCCCTTTCTCCACGAATAAAAAAATTGAAGTACATCTGCGGGGAGTTAGACTTGTAAAATGCAAATAGACCTTGATGGTTTACCAAAAGATAGTAATTGCCCTCGTTCCAACTAGTTTCAGATAATCTAGCCACAAGAGTTTGACCATCCACCAGTTTCTGCCCTGGAAGAAGTGTATCTGTTGGATGATCAAAAGACTGCCAAACAGTTTGATTGTTCCCATCATGAAGCACCAGATTACCGGTTTCCATCACCTTCATGCCCACAACACCCTTATTAGATGTACTGGTAGACCATACAAGAGTTCCATCTGCATCTTTCAAGATCAAATTTCCATCTGGGAGGAACTGTAGAGTTCCATTCTCACGGATAGGTTTGTTTCTGTTTGCAAACCAAACTACATCAAGATCAGACCAATAATGAACCCCAACGAAATCTGTACGATAGTGCACGATTCCGATGGAGAAAACAAAAGAATCGTCTGTTCCATTTGAGACAAAACCACAAGCATAACCAACCCGGGGCCTTATCTCTTTTAACAAAATAATTTGCATAAAAGGCCCTGATGAATCATTGAAAGTATAGTAAGGATAAAGTAAGGCTCTGGTAACATTGGCTACAGAGTGGTTATTGTTTCTCCATGAAGTGGAGATTTTTGCTGTTTCTTGAGCTACCACCTCTGTTGAAAGGAAGTTTATTTGGAGGACTACGATCACAAGAAAAACTAATCGCAAAGCTTCTTTGAAAGACCATCTAGCCATGAATTCTGTGGTCCTATGATGAACTAAACTGGATAATTGAACTGCCTGGGGATGGAAAAGGAGAATTATTTTTGTACCATTTTCTACTGGTAACTTATGTATATAACTATTATATTATTAGTAAAATAGCCCTTTTTTTTTTGTTTGGAATAATAGCTTTCTTGAGGTCTCTTATCATGAAAATTGGTTAGCAGACTGATGATAAGACTAAGCCAATGGAAAATTTCGTGTTTGAAATCAGTTTGCACTTCCAAATATTACTAGGATCCTTATTATCCTTTCAGATTTAGTGGGGGGAAAAATTGAAAAATTTACTATACCCCCAATAATAAGCCTTTGGTTATTAATCTTCCATGTTCGGTTCTAACAGTTTTGGTTGTGAGCTATTTACACTTTCCCAGCTAAGTTTAGGTGCCATATGATCTTGTAGCAGTCATTGGGATGGAATTGTCATAAGTCTTGAAAGGTCCTTTAGTCATTTTTTCAGATCACTTTGGCAAGGGATTGATGTCAGGAAAGCAATTTTCACCTAAACACATCTAAAGCTTAGGTGTATACCCATTTAAAAGATTTATTAAATAAATAAAATAAAATAAAATAAAACCATCTTAGTTGACAGGTTTTGAAATCCCCTATATTTTTTGGATTTTTGACAAGTAAAATGCTGTTTGTCAAAGTTTTTTGGCTGTCAATTATGTTTATCCCTGGGGATGACTCGGTCAAAGCAGTAGCCAAAATCACTAAGATTGCCTCATTGACCAAAAAACAGAAACGTAAAAGACATGGAAGTGAATAGGACAAACAGAGGTTGGAATACATGTCCTCAATGGCATCAAAGAAGTCGTACTTGCGTTCCAAATTTGGCTCTGCTGTGCGCTGTTGAATTTTCTTTTGGATACAAATCCCGAGAACCCACTGCCGCCATAAGCAACATAAGAATTTTCAACTCAGAAGTTAAATGAATTCTTCGACTGCAAGAATTTGAAGTACAAGATAAAACACTCAGAAAATGGCCAATAGCTCTTGGAACGTGGCTATCTCATATTAGAACCTAAAAAAAGTCACAATTGTAAAGCTTTTCTGGGGTGAAGTCATAATCTGTCAAGACATCTCAAGTTCGCAACTATTCACGGATGAGAATGGAGATGTGATGTATTAAAAACTAACCTTGAATTATCCTCTCTGTAGATGCTATGTCATTTTTCTATGCACTTTTACCCGTAACAGCCCCCAGAAAAACAGCTTACCCTCTACTCGATACAAACTAAGATGCAGCTTTTGATATGCATAACATGCACATAACCAATATGGAAGATGTAGGTAGCAGGGTCAGAACTAAATAGATGAAAATCTTGAAGAAATAACATATGCTTGCATTTTCGAACAAGTTCAACAGCAAAATTTGCATTCTATTGCAGATGACTAATCATACAAACGAATTAGTGATAACTCATAAAACATATGCCATGAAAGGAATTTTTCTCATCTATAGACCAAAACTACAACTACGAAAATGATGAAGATGACAGGAAGAGGGGACTTAGTCTGAAACTGCAGCCTTATTGGCCTCCCTCTCCCATGTGAGGTGATGGTTTCCCTTCATGATACAAGTCTAGACAGCCCCTCCTAGGAAGGACATAATCATTACCTTACCTTCCCAGGGGAAAGGTAAATCACTATCTCGGGCTTCTAGGAAGATGGTAACCGGCTTTTAGCTCTTCAGACTTGATCATGGTTGTATGGACAGTTTATGTTAGTACACTTGAATCGGATGCATTTTAGCTCAATGACCTAGCATCATGGAGACTGTCATGTTCCTTGTTCCATAAATACCACCAAATGATTAAGTCCAGTCCATCAAGTCTGGCATTCCCTGTCCTGAAGCATCACAAAATAACCGCAATCTCTGCCCTGAAGACATGTTTGGAGCTAATGAATTACGAAGCTTTTGTATGTCAATTTACGATAGTGATTTATCAAGCTAAATCAATAGAAAATGGAATGTTTTGACTACATGACCACATCTACCTGGTACATAACATTTCACAAGTGCTGCAGATGTGATTGTCATTAGTAAATCAAATTAACCTTGGCCACGTCCAGCGCAATCTCCATGGCTCAGGATGGGGTCATTCATGGTTCTCAGACTATAAAAAACAATGAACGGATGGAAACTGCAAATACCACAAGAATGGAAATTAAGCTCAAGAAAGGAGCAGGGTATCTAAAACATAAGTTTTCTTTTCAGGGGAAATTGGGAAATTTAAAGAGAATGTTCAGAGCATAATATAGTTCTAACAACGCTCGAGTGGTTGACATAAGAGAGCAGTTGACGAAGCGGCAAATACGAAACTCCAATTAGCAGTTCACGAGAAGAGATGCATATCTAAGCACCTACAATTAATCAGGTTTAGCCAAATCAGTCATTTTTCTTTAGAATACACAAACAAACTTTTTGACTGGTAACCAAGGTTAGGGTGAATTCTTAGTTTATGATGAAAAAACAAAAGAATTCTACAACGAGGGCGTTTCCTGGAGGGGTTTCTGTAAATGGGGGTCTTCGCATTTTGAGAATGCGAGCTCAATTCGAGCTCGCATTCCGAAAATGCGAGCTCAGTGATTTGTGTCTGCTTTATTCAGTATGCTGAGTTTCAAATGATTAAGAATGATCCAGGATGGGAGGAGGATTTTGGAGGAGAGGAGGCGAAACACCTTCAGCTGTTAAATGGGAGGACAGGATCATAGAGATTCGTGAAGGTTCTTGGTCCTACGTTTCTAGTTCGATCGGCAAAGCCCCTGGTATGTGCTTTAATGTAGCTCTTTCTCACTGCTTCCACCTGTTTTGATTCTTCAGTTATGCTGTTTCCTTCTCAACCTCCGTGCTTATTTTACATGCAATTGTCATCTAGTGCAGAGAAAGTTGTAGGCACTGCAACACCTCAAGAACCACCTGAGGAGTGGCAAGCTTCATGGAACATCTCAACAGGAAATGAACTATTAATACGTTGGGCGTCTCCGACATCCAGTTCAGGCTTGAATTTTGTCATAAGAAACAAGGAACCTACTGACAGGATGGTACAGCCCATTTCCGGAATCACTGATTGTCAAAATCACTGATTGTCAAAATCCTTTTTTGTTTTAATACAAAAATATAAATCTCTGCCTCCAAAAAAAAAAAAGCAAAAAAATTTGCATCTCTGTAATGCGAGCAAATGAGAGCTCGCATTCGCGAAATGCGAGCTCTCTTGAGCTCGCATTTCACGAATGCGAAAACCCCCCCGACAGAATTCCTCGCCACAATCACCCCTTTTGTAGAATTTTTTTAAAATTCATCACAAACTTAGAAATTTCTCCCAAGGTTATCAGACAAACAGAAATGATGCCAGTCAGATATGTATTATCTAGTACTATATACTATACTTTATAATAATTATAAAATATAAAAAGTATAATGAGTCTTTATGGTTAGTGTAAGTAAAAATTAATCTTAGTTTTTATGATACCAATATTGCCCTTGACACTAATAAATGGACAGATTATATTGTATTTCCTTAATAATTAATAAGAATTATGCTAATAGTTACAAAGAAACATTTCTTGAATTCCGGTGATTCTGGTGAATTAAACCAAAAAAAAAAAAAAAGAACAGCCAATTCATTGCATTTCATCAATAATTAATATCAATTATGCCAACAATTACAAGAATGAAAAACATTCCCTTGAGTTATAGTGAATTAAATCAAAAAAAGAACAAATTTTAATTAAAAAATATGGTGAATCTTAGTAGTTAATAGTGTAAGCAAAAATTATATTAGTTTTTATGATGCCAAAATTACATCCCTCTCTAATAAATGGACAAATTGCATTGCATTTCATTATTAATAAATAATGAATTGGTACTATGAGTCTCTTAAAAAGTGCCATAAGTCTTTTTATTTTTTGGATACAAGTAAATTAAGCCTTAAGAGCACCTTTTTAGTATGAATATATTAGTATGGAGTAAAAAACTTTAATACAAAATATAAATAGGAAATGGTAGGCAAAGGGTTTTATGTTGGGAAGTTTATTTATTTAAATTGCAATAAAGATTAAATTTAATGAACTTTATAAATCGTATTCTTGTAACAACTAACAGTATTAAACAACAATTTATGAATATTATATTCATCAATGCCAATCATAATAATAATTGCAAAGGTGAAGCATCCCTTTGAGGTACAGTGAATTAAGCCAAAAAATAAATTTTTTTTTTTAAATTTCAAGGAGTACTTCAATGGTGAATAAAAATATATCCAAGTTCAGTTTCACTATTATATAATAAATAACCTTAACGTCTAACAATTTTTAATTATATAAACTCTATAATCATAAAACAAGTCATCAGTGAGAAATACAATTAAGTTTCACTAAATCAAAACATTTCTCTTCAAAGTTTAAGCTATTTAAATTCGAACAATAGAATTTCAATATATTTAGATGCTATTATAATTACAATGATCATTTTACAATCCACCGTTAACAAAATAATAATAATAATAATAATTAGAAAACCTCACTATAACTGATAAACAATTCATAGAATGACTTAAAAGGGAGTATTCAAAAATAAAAAAATTTAAACTCAAATGGCATAAAAAAGAACATTTAGGTAATCTAAATTTAACCAAAAGACAAAAATATTGTGCTCTTGGAACAAAGAATGATTTATTGCTTATGCATTTGTATTGGTCAGAGCTAACTAAGTTCAGAAAAAATATAAAATAATATAAATATTAAATATCCCATTTGTTTGTCTCAATTACATTTATCACTTCAAAATAATAGATTTTTAAAAAAATTTTAAAAAAAAATCTAGAAGCATCGTGTTCACGTGCAAAGCACATGCTCCATTACTAGTACAACATAAACCATGCGTGTATCAATATTATTGAACCCCACACCTTTCCTGTTTGAGGTCATCGGGGGAACCTCTGCCAGCACAAGCAAATCCACCCCGCAGCAGCTTATGCTACCATGTTGACATCTAAGGTCGAAAATGTTTCTCAGTATATGAATGCATAACAATGCAGAGAGAGAGAGAGAGAGAGCAACAAAGATGGACGAAGGAAGAAGGAAATGAATATCAGTCTTATCACAACTTAGACCAGAAAACCAACCCAATATCACAAAATCTACTAGCAATAATTTGTGCATAAAGGATTTCATATCAGTACTTTAAATTTTAGAGGGGTTAAAAAAGGTTACGCAGCAGCCTGTAGTAGTGGTTTTCTAATCTGATTTCAAAATGGATATTTGTGGAAGCTGCTGAAATTTTTGGAGATTCAAAAAAAAAAAAAAAGGTTTCAAGCCTCACTTTCGATAATTCATAATGAAAATGAATTCACAGATATTAACTCAAACAAGAAATTACATAACGTAACAGAAAATCTTTCTGCTTCTGTTTTCATGAAATAGGTTTCAAACAGAGCCAGAATACTGTTAACAAAAGACTACAGCACCAAAATATTCATTGTTCAATTTCAAAGGAAATAATTAGCATGCCACTTGATTTGGTTAATTTAGGTCCAAAT